CTCCCCGTCGACTCAGGAACTCCCCCAGAGGGAGAGGGGGAAGGGGGAAATCGATCTAAGATATGCAACTTCAGCTACAAGAATAGTGTAGCAGAAGTCGACGTATCTTAGCTCAACTTACCTCCTGTCCTCACGGTGCAGGATCCATGGCCATGGCTCCCCCGTCAACTCCGCTTCCACCTCTCCCCCTGGTGGAGTTCCTGAGTCGACGGGGAGTGCGTTTGGGGATTGATTTATCGTGTCTAGATGGGACACGATAAATCGATCCCCGATAGATCGATCGCTATCCGCCGATCCGGTGGGTAGTGTGGACGTACCCCTGGCATTGGATGCCTTTGGCATCTAAGCCACTTCTGGTGAGCATGAGTGAGGCACCCGCCTCATGTTGCACAAAACAGCTGGAGGAGGCAGCTGTGGTACCACCTCCATCCAGCAGGCTGAGCACTGCCCCAGAGCATGAGAGAGCCAGGTTCAATTCCCACTCTGCCTGAGGGAGAAAAGGTTTGAATGGGGGATCTCCCACCTCTCAGGAGAGTGCTCTACCCACTGTGGGACTAGCCACAGTGGAACAGGTTCCCTCGGAGATGGAGTCTTCGTCCCATAGCTCAGTGGTTAGAGCCTCACCTGAGAGGTGGGAAACCCACATTCAAACCCTGTCTTCCCCTTCAGGCAGAGGGGAATTGAACCTAGGTCTGCCACATCCCAGGTCAGGGCTCTAGTCATTGGGATCAGAACAAGGTCAGCACCACCCTCTCCAGCAGCCTCTGAGCACACCCACCAGATCAGGCCCCACGGGGGAGTTGGGGCTCCTCTACCTAGTGTATGTATCAGTCTGGGGCTAGATGCCTAGAGGGAAGCAGCAGTGTGTGGGGTCAAAACAGAAATTCAGGCCTGAAGGGAACTTTTACAGTGAAGATTCAGGCACCAGGGGAGTTTAGGTGCCTACAGGGTTCTAGCTGGCATCAAAAAACTCAGAGCAGACTGAGCAGATTCCAGGATAAGGATAGTTACAAAGTTTTGGGGTTTAACACCCACTTCTGCAGGTCTTCGTTCAGCTCCTCTCCCTCTCAACCCAACAGGCAAAATCAAGACCGAGTTTCATCACGGTCACCATTTTCTTCTGCACCTTGAGTAACATCACTTTACCAAACTGGAAAAGGAAGCCAGAGCTAACCCTAGGAAAGAAGCCTGGGGCTATGGGGAACCCTGAATACTGCCTAGGTTGGTTAAAAAGCGCTCAGTAGTAGGACAGCATGAAAGGAATACCAATTGCTATTGAAATTCACAGAATTCCCTGCCCGTATGTCTCAGTGCATGGGCATGTGAAGAGGCATTGCAATAGCCAAGCAGGAAGGATGGCCAGAGAGCTGCACAAGCTGCTTCAGGGTCTCATTGTTGTGCATATATTTATAAGTCAAAGAAGTAGAACAGCTCAGTAGGTGCCGACACAGCCAAAGCTGGGCCACTCATTTCCCCTCCCGCCCCGAGTCCATCTCCTGCAACATGTGAGCTGGAAGAGCATTCAAGGTATTGCCATTTCACCATCCCACGGTACTTGGTTTGTCCTCCCTATGCCCGACTACCCTGTACCCAAACACCCTCCTCCCCCTCAACCGAAGGATTTTTATAGGCCATATCAGCAAAGAGACAAACGGCATTTCCCTGTTGGGACCACCCAGCATGGTGTAGATGATGTGATTCCCACACAGAGATCTGGAGGCTAGTCGGAAAAGCCTTCCCCACGTCGTCTTTTCAAGACACAGAACGCACACCCCACATGATAGAGGAAAAGAGGCAATTTCAGCCACGAATGAACAGAAAGCAAAATCCTTTATTGTACACAGTACAGAATGTAATGCAGCTTTGCAGGAGATGCACGACCCTGCTCAAGGAAAGGTTATTTCAGATCACTCCTCAGATTAACCCTTTCTGCACTGTAGACTTTCCACCTTGAACAACAGCTAGCATCCATCCCCTCGGTGCAGGAGTGCAAGAGTGATGCCTGCATCCCACATTTCATGACTGTACAGGCCACTTTATACATCATGGGGAGAGAAATTTAGTCTACAAAGAGTTAATCCTCATACTTTCAAAAAAAGTAACGACTGTCAACAAACCCAAACCAGGTTAACTAAGAAGGAAAAAACCCTATACAGCATTTACAACAAAAACATATAGATAGTTGGGGAAAAATATGCATATAGGTATAGTATATAGGAGTGGTATGAGTAAGTTAGGAAGCGGTAACTGCATGAGGCCATGGGATTTAGGTGAACTGGAGTATGTTTTGTTTATGGTGAGATATCCCTGAAATCCTCCCCCATCCAGGTATTATAGCCTAATTCTTAAAAAAAGCCTCCTCTTATAAGATCAACCTAAACACACTGAAGAGGGAGGGAACTGTGACATGGAAATTAAGCGGAGAGTTCTGTTATTTGTATGTTTCACCCAGTCTCAAATCCCAGGAGTGCGATGGAGGGTTAAAATTTGAGCAGTGACATGGAGAGGAATAGGTAGTTCGGGAGGACCACAGCAGCCGTGCCACAGGGTCACGGCTTGGAGAGTTAACCCAGTGGGATATGCATGGATTATATACATATAATTCCCAGAGCGCGGGAGCTGCGCACAGGGGACCCAAACAGCGGGGCCCTGCTGTCTTGCAGAACATTCCAAACGTATAGTGCGCAGGTGTTCTGTTCGGTATCCGATGCGGAGAGCGCAAAGAAGACGCTAATGGGCGAGGCTGGTGGCGAAGCTGCCACGCAGGGTGCAGTGTCCTCAAAGCATTGGCACTGCTGCGGGGAGGGGAACCAGCAGGCTTGCAAAGAGCAGCTTCGCCTTAAAATACAAAAGACTACAAAATTGGTTTATAAACTTTTCCCCAACACATGGGAAAAAACCCTGCCACAACCCCCCTTCCCCTGCAATCAAAGCCATCCCCCCAAGCATCAAACAGGGAGGAAGTGATGGACTCCACAGGAGAGCAGAAACCTGGTTCCAGAGAACCGGATCAGGAGTTAGGGGAGCTGTCCGGTGGGGTTTGTTTTTGTTTAGAGAGAAAACTGAGGTTTCCTCAGGTCCGATTGGGGTGCTATGCATTTGAAACCACCCAGAGTGCTGTCCCACTCCCAGGAGGCCAAGCACCACACTTTAAGCCTAAACAGACTAGCTCAGATCGCCTCCCACCCCGCAAATCCATTGTCTGTGCAAAACAAAGCCCTTTCCAACACACAAGGCAGCTACAAGTATTGTGATTGATGCAAAGCAGATTGTCGGGATGGTGTGCTGTACAGTCACACTGTCTAGGCAAGTTCCAGGGGGACCATTGAGCACAATGGCCGCACCTCACACACATGTCCACAGCAGTGTGGCCTGGAACAAAGACTTCAAGTTAACCCTCTCCCCGAAAAACTCTTCATGGTTGCAGCCTTTGGCAGATCTACTCCTAGTCCTTAAGCTATCAGATTCGGTCTTCAGTGGGGCCACTGAATGTACATTTTAGACTCCACCAATCATGGTTAGAGAGTTCAGTTTTACGAAGAGCAAACATTCTTTACAAAACCACTGCCTTTATTTGCCCCAACTTGACTTTCTAGCGCTAGCCTGCAGCAAGTCAGTAAGCAAAGCCCTCCGCGTAGGGAAGGTTGCTGCAGTGATCCATCTCCAGGAGGTAAGCGGGGTTGTCTTCGAAATGTGTCAGAGGCAAGGTATCATCTTCAGTCACATGGCAGTCAGGCTCGGCTTTCAAGAACGGGCGCTGATTGTCCGGGTAGGCCATGGAGAAGAGGGCATCAGGGTCACAGACAAATTTATAGACGTACCGCTCGCCAGCCACCTAAAAATCAGAGACAAACGCCTGTGTTAGGAGAATTGGGAGGCTCCAGCACACTCCAAAACATTTGGCTCCTTCTACTTGTAAAGACAGTTTGTGCAACACTTCACAAACCCCATCCATAATAGGAGGAACAATGCAGAGCTAGGAGCCAAAGGCACAAAACTCAAACTGATGGGTCATCTCTGTGGGCTGTCAAATGCCTGTATGGATAGGGTGCAACGGATAGAAAGAGATTGTGGAGGGGGAATTGTGTATGTGTTGGCTGATATTTTTCAAGAGACATCTAGGGAATTTGGACATGCATCTTCCATTACATTTGAATGGAAGATGTGCCTAAATCCCCTAGGCAGCATTCAGAGAGGTAAACAGCGGTGTCTTTAAGGGATCTGAACTTGGACCACTGCTGTTCAACATATTCGTAAGTGATCTGGAAAAAAGGGAAGTGGCAACATTTTTAGACAATGAAAAATTACTCAAAATAGTTTAGTACAAAGCAGATTGTAAAGAGTTACCAAGAGATCTCACAAAACTGGGTGACTGGGCAAGAAAATAGCAGATTAAATTTAGTGTTGATAAATGCAAAGTAATGCACATTGGAAAACAATCCCAAGTATCCATACAAAATGAGAAGAGATTAAAAAGATAGACTTTTCATCTTGGAAAAGAGATGACTAAGGGGAGGAGTATGCTAGAGGTCTATTAAATCATGGTGTGGAGAAAAAGTGTTATTTACCCCTTCACATAACACAAGAACCAGTGGTCACCCAAAGAAATTAATAGGCAGCAGGCTTAAAAACAAACAAAACAAAGTATTTCTTCACACAATGCACAGTCAACCCGTGGAACTCATTGCCAGGGGACGCTGTGAAGGCCAAAAATGTAACTGGATTCAAAAAAGAATTGGATAACTTGATGGAGGATAAGTCCCTCAATGGCTAGTAGTCAAGATGGTCAGGGATGCAACCCCATGCTCTGGGACTGATCACTCGATAATTCCCTGTTCTGAAGCACGTAGCTTTGGCCACTGTCAGAAGACAGGATACTGGGCTAGATGGGCCATTAGTATGTATTAGTACGGCCATTAGTATGGCTGTTATGTTCTTAGAATCTCAGCTGCCACACGTAGCTCAGGACACATTGATGTGGATTAGAATGGGATGTCTCAGTTCTTCCATTAGGGGGCAGAATTTGAACGAAGCCCTTAACTGAGCACTCATCCGTACAGTATTAGAAGTTAAAAAGGTACAATTTGCATAAGGGCTGGAGGATTCATAGAATCATAGAATATCAGAGTTGGAAGGGACCTCAAGAGGTCATCTAGTCCAACCCCCTGCTCAAAGCAGGACCAATTCCCAGCTAAATCATCCCAGCCAGGGCTTTGGAGGTTTTTAAGGCCCGGCTTGACAAGGAAGGAGACTCCACCACCTCCCTAGGTAACGCATTCCAGTGTTTCACCACCCTCATAGTGAAATAGTTTTTCCTGATATCCAACCTGGACCTTCCCCACTGCAACTTGAGACCATTGCTCCTTG